GCGAAGTTGGGGTGACAAAGGGAAGGTATTTGCCTGTCAGTCAAATCAGGGGAAAGAGTTGGCTGGCAGAATGGGTGGGGCCACTGCAAGTCCATAAAAATTGGGGGGTACATAATCCCCCAAACAAAGGAATTCTCTCTCTTGTTGCTCTTGGTTCTAATCTAGGCTCATAGGGCTCCCTTTTTCCTGCTTCCTTGCATTCTCCCATGTTTCCTCCATAGCCCTGTGTCCCTGCAGACACCACAGGGAATGGGCTGGTGGTCTGCAGTGGTGAACACAAACCAAGGTGGCCTGATGCTTGATTGGACACTGCTCCAATGCAGAATGAAAACTCTGGACACCGACTCTGATTTTAGCTCCACTGAAGCCCCAGCTATACTTCTTCTATGCGGGACTGAGGGAGAGGGGGCCTTGGAAATGCAGCAGTTTAATTCCACAAAAATAAAGCTTTCTACAATATTTCATACTACTGTGCAAGTCTCAGAAGATTCTTTTTCTTGGGATATCACAAGAATTCCACTCCCATGAACAACAGGTGGGGAGCAGGACTTCCCACTTCCATCAGTAACAAATTCAGTTTTTCTCCTTTGTTAATGGAGGGAAGAGTTCCTCCTCTCCTCCAGTTGCTAGTGGGGTTGGATTTTTTGTGATATCCCAAGAAAAATAATTTTTTGAAACTTGTACAGAAGGATGCAATATTATAGAAAGCTTTACTTCTGTCAAATCAAACCCCTGAATTTTCAAATTCCCATTTCCCTTTGTCCAGTAATAGAATAAGTGTAGCTGTGGCTTCAGTAGAGCTAAAATCAGAGCCTGTGACCAGTTTCCTTTCCATGGAGGAGCAGAGTACAATCCAACATCAGGCTAGCATCGTTTGTGTCCCCCTCTGTAGTACTGCAGTCCATTGCATGTGGGGGCCACAGGGCCACACGGCTATGGAGGAAACAGGCAAATGCGAGGAAGTCAAGAATGAGCCAAGAGCACAAGAGTAACAAAAGCAACAAGAGCTACAAGAGAACAACTTTCTTTTTTTAGGAGCTTATGTAGTCCCAAATTTTCATGCATTTACAATGGCCACACCCATTCTGGATAATGATCTTTGTTCCCAGGTGTGACTGATAGGCAAGCACCTTCCCTGTGTCACCCCAACTTTACTGGGCATGCATCTATCTTCCCTTCGTTGGATCCTTTTCCCCATTGTTTTGCAAGGAATAGGCCAGTGATTTCCTGGGGAGTGCAAAGTTGCAGCTTCCTGGTGAATCTGCCCAAATGACATGCCTATAATGTCTGGCTTTTCCTTTTACTCCTTTTCTATTATTTATAACTAGTGGCCTGGTGCATGAAATTCGTGCATGGGGGGGGGTGTCCCTCAGCCTGGCCTGCACCCTCTCCAATCTGGGACCCCTCAGGGGATGTCCGACTGCTGGCCTGCTTGCCCCCAACTGCCCCCCCCCCTCTGGCTTGCTTACCC